CACTTTAACTGCCCTCCACCAAAGTGACCTTAGACAAAACCTGACTGCTATAGTCTCTGCTTAAAGTGCTTCAGTTGTGCTCACTGGCCACAGGACTCCCATCACTGGATGGCGTCCACTTTAGTTTCTAGTGACAGTTTCCTACCCATTTCCTGAGGCCTCTGCACCTTTCTCAATCCTCGGGGTAGGCACTCATTAAGAGATACTCATCTTCTCACAGGGTCCTGACCATATTATAGCACTTACCACGTTTTAGAAAAATGCTTTGTATACGTGTTTGTATCCCTTAGCATACTGTAAGTGGTAAGAGGACAAGAACGTCCAAATATCTTTGTGATCTTTAATACTTATACAAATCTTGGAACATAGTATGTTCAAGAAATTGAACTGAAAGGAGTTGCATAATAAGCAGATCATATAAGTTGCATATTTAATTAAATTAAATGCATTTGGATTATTAGGAATAATGTATACTGTAAAAAACCAGAGGGGTGCTTAAAAATATGAGCTTAACCTAAAGCCTTCAATCTGCCATGTTTGGGGCTAAATTTCTTATTCCAGGTGGTGTTTTGTTAAGAAAACTACCATTTTACTTATTTATACCCTGCATTATCTCTAAAAGGATTTGAGATAGTAGGAGAATAAAGCTAATGAGAGTTAAATTTTTTTTAATCTTTTAGAAATGGCTATGTAAGTATGTTTGCTTCTTTCCTATAAAACATTTAATAATGATAATCCATGAATTAATCTCCTCCCCACTATGAAATAGCTTTTTAAAATATGTATTAATGACCTTCAATGGAGCAGTGAGAAAAACCTAAAATATTCATATTTTTATAGAAACATTCACTTTAATTAAATAAAAATGCCTTTTCCCAGACTACATTAGCAGAAGTTTTTTGTAATAGTTTTCAATGCAACCAAAATTTTCATAGTGCTTTAAAACAGCTGAGGTTGGAATGGCAAGAAAAATCAACTTAATTAAGAGGATAGAATAAAACAGGCAGCATCCCAAGGAAGTGTAACTAGCAACTATTTCATTCATGCCTGTTTATCCCTTAGGGCGCAGACTCCTGAATCTTACTGCTTAGTCACTGCTGAAACATTAAAATATTTGGTCCATTAAATAGGAAAGTATGCAAACAAAATACAGACGGCAATGCCAAAATACTGAACTTGGACATTTTTACAACTACCTCTAAGTCTCTGGTACTCACTGTGGGCAGAAGCATCCACATTACCTGGGAACTTACAAGAAATGCAGACTTTCAGATTCCATCCCAGGCCTACTGATCTGGTTTAAAGAGTTTCTGATAATAAACACGCTTGTTAAAGCTTAAGAAGTACTGGTTTTGGTACACTCTGAAGTTTTCCCAAGTAAAGTTCCAGTCAAACAATAGACAATTCTTGATTGAAGCCTACTCCCATATAAAACTAAAGATTAATTTTACAGCTGTCTTCTGTGTGCCTTTGATACTAAACTGGTCCTTGCCTTAAAGCATATCTTATCTACAGGCTGCTTTGATACCAACTCAGGGTACTAAACCAGGTTTTTGGCTTCCTCAACATCAGCTGCTAATGCTGATACAATAATATTCAGTAAATGTGAGTTTAAAAAACTGAGTAAATAAACTTGAACAGACAATAACATATGAGGGCTATTCTGAATAAAATGTATACTATGAGAGTGTAAATACATTCAAGAACTTGGTGTAACTTTTAAGACTTGAACTAGACATTATTTTAATACCATCAATTTCATTACAAATAATAAATATATCCAAAAATATTTATTATTAAATGTAAAAATAAATATAATTAATTATATTAATTATATTATAAATATGAATTATACTGTTACTGAATTAAACATAAATATAAAATTAAATATAAATATAAATAAACATTTATATATTTATTATATAAATATAAAAAGATAACTCAAACCATTCTTGTTTTAGACCCATGCTTTCTTTTTTTTTTTTTTTTTTGGAGGGGGTTTTTTTTTTTTTTTTTTTTTTTTTTGCTAGAGGGCTTGTGCGCTCACCAGACAGAGAGAGACAGAGAGACAGAAAGCGAGAAATCACCCCCCGGGGGGATGGTCACGCCACAATCCCTTCTCCTCCATTCTCCTCTCGGGATCTTGGACACGCACGCACACATGCCCGGCGTGAGTTTTAAGCCACTG